GAGAAAAGAGTAGAAGGCAACGCGGTTGCTGGCAGAACAACATGCTTCACCAACATGGTCACTGTCTTTAAACTTACTAGGGCAAGAATCAAAGATGTAAGGACACATTCCCCACCACTCTCCAAATAAACTCTCCAGTCCTAAAGAAAGAAGCCAGTGTCTCCCTTTTAAACCCATTGGATCATGTGTATTCCAGCTTCTAGGGCTGTATTCTCCTCCTAGATTACAGCTGAGCTCACCAAAATCTACCCATCTTTTAAGATCCAACTCAAATTCTATGCCATTTCTCAACTATTCCAACCTGCTATGCCCTATCCCTTCTCTAAATTCTATAACAAATACAACCTGTGCCCACGTCATTCACCAACTAGATTGTAAGCACTTCAGAATCAAAGCAAGGACCTGTCATTTTATCTCTACTACAGTGGCTAACATTTAGTAGATGCTCAATAAATATTGAAAAAAATGAAATGAATGAATATTGCAGTCTTCATTACTTATTTCATTTCTTATATGTTTCTTTTAACTTCAAGAAGATTATAAAAGGTCCTCAAGTTCAAGGATCGTGACTTCTTGTATTTCTTTGGCAGCCAGGATGGTACCAAACCCACACTAGGAAATGAATATTTACTTGATAAGAGTTGTTTGATTGACTAAAAGGAATTTAAAGCTTTCAAAACAAGTTACCAGTTGCAGCATGAGACATTCCTTCACTTGAATAGGAAATATCACTTTATGGATGGAATAAAATTGTGCAAGCTAGGGACAGCCCACGGTTGTTCAATGCCATAACTTCACTAAGCTCCAGAGTAAAGCCCTGAGTTTCCCTCTGGGATTTTCAAACACCACCTCAAAATGAGTGACTGGCATCTGAGCAGCCATTCTGCGGATCTTACTTCAGAGTTCTCCAAGCTTATCCTCAAAGGGAAGGGCATATCACACTTAATCAGCTCACATGTCAAAAGACAGTTTTGTTTTTTAAATGCATTTGCTGTGAGTTCCACTTGGGACTTGCAAATCCATATGAGATCTTGATTTGCACATCATTGTTGGATGCAAGACTGTGTGAGGAGAGCTTAGTTGTCAATGAGAAGTGAAGTGTGATGTCAACCTGCTTCTCCTTCTCTGCCTCCCGCCCTTGAATCTCCTGGGTGGATTCAGGTAGAAAGCATTGACAGTAAGCAGATAGGATTTGAAGGCCTGGGAAAGAATGCATGTGGGAAAAGAAAGACTGTCATTAGATTGTTTTCCTGTCTGTAATAACTTCTCTAAGACCATCAGCTTTAAGTAATAAGTTTTTGAAAACCAAAAATTTTAGATACAATTTTGTCTAAGCAAATCATTTGTGTGAACAAAACTCTGTATTTTCTCATGCAAACAGCATTTTCACATGCAAATTGAGGTGTTAGAGCTTTAGCTAATTGAGCAGTGCATAGAATTCAATGCTTTTTGCAAGTCCAAGTAGGAAGTGATACTGGTATAGCTACAGAGAATGTTGAAGAGAGTGGCTGGCCATCTACAACTGTGTGGCTCAGTCTCCTTGGGATGCTATAACTCTCTTGAGAGGTTGAATGAACAAATCATCTGAAGTGAATATATTTTCAAGCAAGTTATTGGTTAATTGACTCCTGCCAACTGCCTTCTGCATCAACAAGCTTTACTCCAGGCTTAAACTCACACATGCCACCCAAGTTAGTACTTCAATATGGCTCAGAAGAAATAGTCAAATGGGCTGCTCTTTTGGGTAGAGGTAACTACTTGAATACATCTGCCATTCTAGAATCTGTGTTAAACTGGAAATTGGCAGCACATTGAAGCTGGGTACTTGAGAAGAGGGTAATAAAGGCACTATTTGCAAGGATCAGGAAAAGCAACAAGAGTGTGTTCAGTACCTCAGGACTAGTAAATGGTTACAAGATCTAGACTTGAAGGGAAAAGGGAATGGGTCAGTTAATACAACCTAGAGAGAATTCTAAAAAGAGAACCATCCAACAGGAGTCTCCTGTGCCTTTCAATTGAAAAAAGTAGCCAATCTATCATGACCACCAAGGAGAAAGCCAGAGAGATCAATACTCTGATTTCATTCTTCTCTCTTCCTCTGGTGTCTTGCCAGCATCCCCCATCTAACAAACCCAGTTGTAAAGCAGAAGGCCAAAGCATCTCTGATTCTACCTCCCAGGTCAACCTCCTAGGCACAGGGCAAGACTTAGAATGGATGTGGAGGGACAAACCAAAGATATCCTGCACAGCTTCCCTAGAGCCAACCATTCTGCAGCTATCAGATTCTTTATTTCTTATTTCAGTATTTCTTGGCCTTAGGCTCCAGAATTTCTCTGAGAGCTACATCACAACTATACCTTGCTCAGCGCAATTGCCCACCCTCAGTGGAAATATTCAAGATGAACAATAGCTATCTTAAACCTATACAAATCATTCTTAAGACCTCAGTAATTTTAACTTCTAATGCTAATAAGGAAATGATCATGAAGTTCATCAATGATTGTGGACTTGATCAGTTTAGTTTATTTCCTAATCCTAGTCCAAAGACACTGCATATATAACGTAAGCCAAATATGAACAGAGACTCTTCTTCTTATTCTGCATCCCTACTTCTACGTGGTATGTTTTTCAACTACTCCTTTTATAAGTGTCACTGTTTTTAAATGCCTATGCGTATTCAAAATAATCACCATCACATAGTTCAGATTTAATTGTTCAGTAGTCATTTAACGTGTGCTATTTCTTTTCTCCCTACCTAAACTACAAGCTCTCTAAAGTCAGAGGACATAGATGATATTTATTCAGACATCTATTAGTCTCAATAAGGACTTCTCACTGATTAGCTCTCTGGTAATTTGCAAGTTCTGGTGACCAGCATTTATAGAACAGTATCTATGCACCTAGAACTCTGACAAACTGCAGACTACTTGCAAGCAAAAATTAAAGTATGCTTTATCTCAGGACCTTGGACAGTGCAGAGCACAGTGTCTTTCTACATGGTAGTAATTAATTACTCTTGAAGGTTGCAGGAGGGAAGGGATTGGAAAGGATGGAGAGAAGAGGGATAGCCAAACGTGCTCCTTGTTTGTCAAGGCACAAACTGCTTTAGGCATGTGGGCAGTTGTTAGATACACAGTAAGCAGACTTGTTGGAAAATAACTTGATCCATTACCTAACCCATATAGTGTCACCAAGATACTATGAAGATAATTGGCCTCTGAATATTTAGAATATGATCTTTGTCCTTCTTTTTACAGCTGGTTCTGTGCATCTTTATGTATAATAAGCCAACTTGATGTGGGTGATGCGATGACTCAGATACATGTGTACTAGGAGTCATGAATAGATATCAAAGACATCTATAAACACCTCTGAGAGATTGTGCAATAAAGAAAATGTCCTGACAAATTAGTCACAGCCTCAGAATACAAAGCTAATAATACATCCGCTCACTGTTCTCCCCAGCAAACAATAGGGGAGAATGGTGTTAGATTGAAATTAATCAATCTAACACTAACAATCGGGAAATTTTAAGAAAAAAAATTATTTCTTAAGGAAGGAAGATATTTTTTAAAATATATTTATTAAGACATAGCTTCATCTCTCCATTTCATTTTGGCCGTGCCAAAACAATCTTTAAAGTGAACAGCAGCACTGAGAGCTTGCTTTTCCTTAGGCACAATATTTGTCAACACAGCCAATATGCTTTCAAGCAACCATTTTTAGACAAAAGCTTTTGAGGGGGTGGGAAAGAGCTATTAATATGGAGATCATTCAGCCAGTGTTCTCTGGGACAACCAGGGTTTCATGCAATTGTATTCATTTCAATATGTTCAAATAAATTAATCCTACAGCTAAATTTGCTTTTATTTATACACCTTGGGAAGATTTTATGGAAACAAACTATAAATCAGAAAGCAAAAATTTTTGTCAGACCACATGTCAGAAGTACTTACTATAATAGAAGCTCCACTCAACTTGAATGGGACACACGCACCACCACTCCCCACAACTTAAGAACCCCACAAATTGGATCCCACTCCATAAGAAGAAATGCTTTAGTGTTGGGAATGTAAAAGTCAACAAAACAGGTAAGGAGCCCTAAAGTTTTTATTCCAATCTGTGTAAGTGACTCTGTCTTTTCACACTGAAATGTTCACAAATCCAGCTATGCTAATTCTATCTCTGCTCTCTCCATCAGAACCACGGCACCTAAAGTACTAACCTTCTGAAACAAGTTCCAGATGTGGGCCCTTTCTTGCTGCTCCCCCTGATAATTAACTATCAACCCCCCAACACTGCTGGGTCTTATCCAGGATCTGTAGGGCTTCCTGACACTGGCGCAGGCTCTTTCTTCCTCTTCTGGGCAATCATGAATGTTTATTGTGTGGGCTGGAAGGCTGTTACTGCTGTTGTTTTGTTTTGTTGTTGTTTGGAGAAGGGAGGTTTGAGGATCAGTGTGATGAGTGAGGCTAAGTAAGGAAATTAAGTCATTATAACTGCACTGTCCAGTAGCCCCTTGCCACATATGGCTACTATTTAACTTAAACGTAAATTAAAATGAAATAAAATTAAAAATTTAGTTCTTCAGTTGCCTAGCCACATTTCCAGTCCTCATAGCCACCTGTGGTGAGTGGCTGTCATATTGGACAGCATAGATATAGAACATTTCTGTCATTGTAGAAAGTTGTTTTGGACAGTTCTACACTATGGTAAGTTACTAACCCTTCTGGCAATCTAGCCTCCTGGCTCAAATTACTTTACCGTTTCTATAGATAACAGTTTATATTCTGCCTTGCATCTTTTTCCTTCATTGTGTCTCAAAAGACCATCATGTTTATGAGCAGCTAAAGCTTTTACACGTTCCTCTGTATGAAGCTTTTCTTAAATATTACCTTGGATACTAATTAACTAGGATTTGAAAGTGAGAACACATTGGCACTGTTAAGGTTAATAGCTTAATCCTTTAGCACAGGAGACAACTTCAAGAGCTTGTTTGAAAGATTTTTATTGAAGCACAGGGAATGTACCATTTCATTATCCATGAGCATTGTCTATTCCACTCTCCTTAGGAACTGAGCCATCTGTCTGTCCTTCGAGTAACTGATACTTAGAAAATGTTTCCAGGTCTTAGCATTTCTATTGGAAAAGTAAACTGCTAATAAAAGAGAGAAGGTTATTTTTCCAGATAATTCTGGAATCACCAAGGTCCAGACTTGGTTTTCGATCCATTTCTTAGAAATTAACTTGGAGTAAATAGTTAATTATTTTTTATTTAGGAAGAGTATAGGTAAAAGATAAACCATTGATGGTGCATCAAAAAGTAACTTCAGGGGCTGGCCTGATGGCACAGCGATTAAGTTCATGAGCTCCTCTTCGGCGGCCCGGGTTCACCAATTCAGATCTTGGGCACAGACCTACACACTGCTTATCAATCCATGCTGAGACAGGTGTTCCACCTGTAAAATAGAGAAAGATGAGCACAGATGTTAGCTCAGGGCCAATCATCCTCGAAAAAATAAATAAATAAATGAAAATAAGTAAATAAATAACTTCACTGGTTGCTAGGGTCTGGGGGGTGGGGGAAATAGGGAGAGGTTGGAAAAAGGTACAAACTTTCAGTTCTAAGATGAATAAGGTCTGAGGATCTAAAGTATAATGTAGTGACTATAGTTGATAACACTGTATTGTATGAATGAAATTTGCTGAGAGTAGAACTTAAATATTCTCACATACACAAAGAAAATTGTAAACTATCTCAATAATTGTATTTGGATTATATAGTGAAACTATTACATTTTAGCACATTGGTTAAATGAAATGCTATTAAAAAATTTTTTAAATAACTTCACAACTGATTGTTACACAAATCCTAATTCTTGTATTTACATTGCTGAAACATTTCCAAAGATTAAAGAGCACAAAGTGGACAGGGAGTTAGATCAATAGTTTGGAATAAAAAGATCTGGTTTTTGGTTGTTTTATGATTACTTCTGTTTTTTAAAAAAAAAAAACTTTGCTTATACGTGGAATATATGTGATATGTTAATCATGATGGAAATCTCAGATGCTTTCTTAGGTATGCCTGGTAATATAGATAAGTGAGATGGTTCAGATATCAGATGATAGGGAGAACTGAGGACTGAGGTGGATTGGAAGGTGCATATCCCCACCAAATACATGTATAACCTAAATTTGATGCACTGGCTGCCTATTTGTTACCACCACATCTCACAGCATCCATTCATTGTCTTATATGTGTTAGTATTGTTCTGCAATTAATTAGTATCTATATTACTTGAGAACAGGCATCATGTCTTATCCATCTCTTGTATCCTTCGTAGTGTGTAGCACAGAGATAGATACATCAAACGCTCACAAAGGATTGCTAGTTGTTGGTTAATGTCATGGGCAGAATAATGTCCCTCCCCAAAGATGTCCACATCCTAAACCCCAGAACTTGCGAATATGTCACGTTACATGGCAAAGGGTAGTTAAGGTTGTAAATGGAATTAAGATGGCTAATCAGCTGACCTCAAAGCAGGGAGATTATCCTGGATTATTCCAGTATGTCCAATGTACTCACAGGGGTCTTCAAAAGAAGAGATGCAGAAAAGGAGTCAGAATCAGAGGAGGAGATATGAAGACGGAAGCAGGGGTCTAAGTGATGGACATCGTGTGACAAAGTCTGGACCAGCTGTGACTGGCTCTGGATATAGAGGAAGAAGACCACAAGTCAAGGAACACAGATGTCTTCTAGAAGCTGGAAAAGGCACGGAAATGGCTTCTCCCTTAGAACCTCCAGAAAGGAATAAAGCTCTACCAACACCTAACTTCAGCCCAGTGAAGACCCATTTTGGACTCCTAACCTATATAATTGTGAGATAACAAACTCGTGTTGTGTTAAGCCACTGAGTCTGTGATAATTTGCTACCGCTGCCATAGAAAACTAGTACAGTTGAGATGTTTCTTTGTCTTCGTTTTCTTGAAAGAGAAGAGTGTCAATTTATTATACCTACTGCTCCTAACCATCACCAAATATTCAATCATCTAGGAAGAGTACAATGTTGACAGAGGTATATGCCAAAAGAAAATTTGGGATTTTACCCAAAGGAAAAGCTACTTTACTCTTTTAAAATAGTGTCCCCCGTCCTACCTCCAGTGATTTGCTTATTTAAGAAAATCAATGGTCCATTTAAAATTCCCTTGTGAGTGGGAACTTGGTGCCATATAAACGTTTTCTTGCTGTCATCTCTTTCCCAGGGCCAAGTGCCAGCTTTGCACATGGAATTACTTAATTGGTAATTATTAAATAAAATGAAAAGAGTCATGATTAGCAGACTAATTGTTGACCAGTATTTCTATTGGATTTGTTTCCAGTGCAAACTTCTCCTCTGCTCTTGGCTCAAGGTAATCAGACATTCTTTTTTTATTTTTTTTTTTGATTTGTCAGAAATCCTTGAAGTGTTTCTGTAGACTCCAAACAGTCACTCACTGATAGGACAATTTTCACTTGAAAGCTGGACTCTGTTGCTTTTGCCTCAGGGCAGGGAAGGGAGCTTGGCAGAACAGGTTGCATTGTATTATTTTCTTAGTTTCCCTAGAGAGAAGAGGGAACGATAAACCTAAAGAGAACGGGTTATCCAAGATAGCTATTTATCAGAGAAAGAAGAACCTGATAATCAAAACCGATGGGTTAAATTCAATATTGAGGGAGAAATTTCTTCATGGAGTTGGCCTATGGTGCTAGATAATGTCTAAGATCTCTTATGGCAGAAAACTTCTTAGACTACCTCTGAACATCACAAAATCATGCATTTCAACATCATTCTGGAAGCCTATACCTCCCCTCTACCTTCCCCTATACAGTACTCCCTTCTCCCACACCTTTACTTCTCACGCCAAACCTCACCCAGTCAGGACTGGGACTGCTTCACGTCGCTGCTGGTCCAGGAGTCGTTTCTTAGTTCTTTTTAGCCCTGCTCATATTTGTAAATATCACCCCATCTTTTGACAAAATCTACCAAGCACCTGGCTGATGAAAACCTCTAGCTTATACTCATGGAATTATAATAAGTAAATACCCTGCCGCCTGTTACTCCTTATCTGCAGGTACCCATAGATTTCTTGTGGATAACTTCCTTTGGCCTAACTTAATCAGAAGCCTGAATGAAATGGAGCTGGGTAATTCAGTCCATAGAAGTCAGCCTCCCACAGCAAAGAACAGAGCGGAAAATAATGAATGTATTCAAGAAGGTAGAAATTAGACAGACAATAGCTTGTACAGAATCTCTTTGTCAGAGCAACCAAGAGTCATAAATTTCCACTTTTGATCTTGAAACTGTAACTCATCTTGGTTAAATTCCTACCGTGTTTGGGGTGCATTTTTGTTTGAAATGAGAAGAGTATAAACATTCTGCAATTGTCCCTTCCTTTTTTAACTTATTTTTTTTCTTCATGGTCTTACTGAATGGCTACTCTCTGCAGGATTTCTTAGCTCCTTTTATTTCTACTACTAAATAAACCTGATGTCTCCCTTCACCCATATAATAGACTCCCTTTGCATCCTCACCATCTGTCTGACATTGACAGTATGTTTGGCAAATGGTAAGCATGCTATAAACATTACCATTTTTATTTTTATTCCTTTTTTAAGCAGTCCATGTCTGATTAAATAAGGAAAAGCTTTTGGGATAATAAGGACATTTATAGATTTAAAAAAACATATATTCAGTTAATCTAGTTAAGATTTTAAACCCAACTTCCAGTTTATTAAGAAGCAGAGGAGATTGAGAAACAAGTTAAACAATGTCACACAAAAAAGAATCAGACAAATTAAGAATGTGGGGCATTTTGTAGGAAAACTATCTAGTTTCTTCAAGAAGTCAGTGTGGGGTACAAAGAGAGTAGAGAGAACTTTCTGTATCAGGATTCAGCAATCTTTGTCTGTAAAAGGCCAGACAGTAATATTTTAGGATTTGCAGACTATGCTATGTCTATGACACCTACTCAACTCCCAAAACCATAGATAATACTTGAATAAATAGTGTGTGACTATGTTCCAAAAAATTTTATTTACAAAATGGGCTGCAGACCAGGTTTGACCCTTATTGTATGTTTAAAGATCTTAAGAAACATAACAACTTAACAACCAAGTATAAAATGGACACCTTTAATTCAAAAGTTTTTAAAAGGTGCAGGAATGGGCAGAGGTTTCAGGGGCATTGTGAAGCCAGGAGAGAAATTAGGCTTACATAGTACACTGTTGGAGGAAAATGACACCACTCTTTGACTGTATTTTTCTTATTTATGTGTCTACTGGTTGTGCTTCCACATTGCTTCCTCTAATATCTTTTCATCTTTGTTCTCAAAACGATAATGACAGTATATATATTTTACATAGTTCTTGAAAATTCAGCAAGTTAGACAATGCACTGAAGGGAAGCATTGCTGTCCTCAGTCCATATCTCCCAACCAACCCTCCCCAGGCAACTGTGCTTTGGGTGGTGGGGGGTGATCTGTTACTTATTCCCTTAATTAGTCCTCAATATTATCCCAATTCCATCAAAAAAGAACAGTTAAAACTATCTCTTTTCAGCAGCGGTAAACTATGGAATCCATTGAAGTCACCATTCTACTGAAAAGAGTAAGATTAGGACCCCAAATGGTGGAATTTTCTCTTTTGTTCCTGCATAACGTTGACCACAAATTTTAACATCTCTGGGTGTCTTAGACAGTTTAGGCTGCCATGCCAAATGCCATAGACAGGGTGGCTTAAACAACCAGCATTTATTGCTCACAGTTCAGGAAGCAGGAAGTCTGAGACCAGGGCACTGGTAGTTCCCATGTCTAGTGATGGCTGCTTGCGAATGCCTGTCTTCTCATTGTATTCTCACATGGTGGAGAACAGAGAGAAGAGGGAAGCTCTCCCATGACTTTTCTTACATGGGTCACTAATCCCATCATGAGGACTCCATTCTCATGACCTAATTATTCCCAAAGACCCCATCTCTAAACACCATCATATTCGGAATTAGAATCTCAACATACCAATTTTGGAGGGACACAAACATTCAGTCCATAGCACTGGGCTTCAACTTTTTCATTGATGAAAAAGATAGTTTGAACTAGAATATACTTGCCAACATTCTTCCACTGACCGGAAGCCTGAACTTCCATTAATTATAATAGGAACTCACTCAAAATAGTAACTTTTAGAACTGCGCTATTTGCAATAAGAATTTTGTGAAACATTTCTGTTTGACAAAGGAGACCCGAATTTCTTTAATTATTTAGTGGAACATGAAAAAAATGTCAAAAGATGTTAACTAAAAATAAAATCTGTGAGTCACAGCTTAGAAAAGTTTTGTATCTGTGATCTCAGAACTGAAGATGCAAAAAAAAGGGGAGTTGCTTCCTAAACAAAGAAGAAACTGTTTTCAGGCAGTTGAGAAAATAA